AATATACTTTATTTCGAGTAATAGCTCATATAAACATAACACATTTACAGAAAATAAGAATAAATACCGTGAAAATGTACATAATAAATATATTATAAAACATGACTCAGCCAAGTACTCAAAATCGTATTACATTTCATTACATCTGGGCTATAAATAGCTGTAATTATTGCATTCTTACTTTTTATAATTCTTAAAAAAAAAGTTCGCCATTTCTTTTTTATGAAGAGCTTCAAAAGTAGTGACACGGTTTTGTACAATGGTTTGAGTCATATGAAAGATGTGTACATTTACTCAAGCTATTCCCACAAAATACCCGTAGTGTAGTGTAAACGAAGGGGAAGATTTTGGCGTCGTTGTCGGCGTGATTTTTGACTTGTTTGCTTGATAACTTAATTTTTACAAGATCTTTTTAAAATTTATACTTAATATAAACAAGCATGCAACAACGACCAAGTTCAATATTGGGGCATTTTGCTTGCATAATTAATGAGAGACGGCTACTGATTTGTTTTCTTTTGTGGGTGCAATAACGATGTTATAAACAAAGGTATAAGGATAACCAAGTATAGTAGTTGTAATTATTGTTCACTGAGCATCATTTTCTGATGGGTTAACTTAGTACAACTATGTGTCATTTCATTTCATTGCGTTACTGAGTATGTTTTTTTCATATTATTATAATCAGTGCCATCTAGAGTTCATTATTAGAAAATGCTTTAAATTTGTTTTTTTATACTTTTTCCATTTGATCTTTGTGAGAAGTCATTGTATAGTAATTAGATCTGGTTAAGGTTTATATTCAAACACAGTTGTCAACAACTGCTTGACAGTTTTATTGTGAGCTTGGTACTGTTGTCAGTACAAACACATTCGTTTAGTTTACTTAGTTCGTTAAACATTATCAGATAGTATTCTACTGTAAGCAGCTGTACTCGGTACTAGTCCCCATTGTTCAGTGAGTTACAAACTAAGTGCAATAAGTTTGTTAAAGTTGCTACTGTACATGTACAATAAGTTATATTCTAGAGTTCACATAAGATAATTATACTATAAGTTGCTATAAAGCATATCCAGTATTCTTCATTGCACACTAAGAGTTATAAACTAAGTGCAATAAGTTTTGTAAAGTTATTAGCGTACAATAAGTTATATTCTATTAAGGTAGATTGCAGGTTCGTGGGCACTTGGTAGTGAAATTTTTTTTGGCTTTTTATTATCCAAACAGTGTTGGCTAAATACTGTTAACATTTTGTAGAATTGTGAATAGTGGAACACACTCAAAAGACGATTTTAAAATATAGATAACAGGTGAAAACATTCTCTTTTTTGAATGCTTAGCAAGATTTAGCAAGGCTGTACACAAATAATAAAAAAAGAAACATGGTGAAAAAAGCAATGACGGGATCTCCATATTATGCACTATATTTATCTTTTACAAAACGATAATACATTTAAATTTGGAACTGTTACAGCCATTTTAATTTTAATACTGAGTGAATGGTTATACAAATTAGAAATTATCTCAGCTTCTTTTTAGTGCACATCCCAGAACTTTAAAAAAATAGCTCCTAGACGCTTTGACCTTTTGTTTTGAAATTTTCACAAAAGATTGGCAATGTGTTTATCTTCAATTAAACGCCGTCGGGGCATTGTTTTTGGTTGAATAGTGTTACAACAATCGTACAGACAACTAGCCTGGGTGTTAATTTAAGCATAAACTTGAAGTAGTGAAATTTGAGCTGCTACCCTGCAAAATTGACAACTGATAGACAGTTTTTATGACAACACTTTCTTCATAGTAAAATTATGTACCCGTAAACAAATTTTGACAGGAAACAGAAGCATGGTATAGAAGCTAATTTGTTTTATCACTTTTGACCAAATAAGCAAATTTTTGTGCATATTTCAAACTACAGTGTCCATAAAAAAATACTTACAAAATTTTAAAATTCATATATTAAGCTTTCCGAAAGCTGTATAGTTTTGTGGACAAGAGAGGTCAGCTTGGTTTCCTAATTAACTAATTAAAATACCTGTCAGTTAACTGCATTTCTAACTTAAAATACAGATAAGCTTAGTAGTTTTTTGGATCGCAGTTTTCCCAGTAATGACGATAAAAACAAAAACTGTTGTAATGTGCTCACATTTACTGTAAAATACTTTATTTTAACTGGAAATAATTGCTGAAAAGACTTTTTGGGTGTTTTGTATTGAATTTATTTTCACTTATTTTTGATTAGTTGAATGTAGAAGATAAGGGAAAAATTATATTTGCTTCAGCGAAAACAATTTTCAAACAAAAAGTAAAATAATTACATAAAGAACAGACTTGGCCACTTCCTTCAATACCATTTTCCCTGTCGGTTTCTATCCTGGGACAACAAGCAGAGCAACGAAAACGCGATAAAACACACCTGTGAGCGTGGACAGACACAGAAAATAAATATCATTCGGGTTCAAGACGCATTATCAAATTTCGATATTTTTCTAGTTTTTCCTTAGTTGAAATATCACCATGACAATCCAAATGCAAACAATATTTCAATCTAGGAGCGAATATCTTAATAAATAAATAAATATTCGAGACGTCCTGTGCATTCCAAACCTCTTGAATAGGCAGCAAATCTGAGCTGATCTTCCAGACGTATTCTAAGATTTTTGTCACATTGTTGTCATTGCGTGCAATGGGCAAATTATTGCTACCCTGGTATTCTTTTTTCATTTGGAGGCTGTGCACCCTTGAAAGACTTTGTAACTTCTTGCAGACTTCCGTTTTTATCACTGTCTTTGTATGGCTAACAAAAGCGGGATTACCCTTCGACCAATACATGTTATTGTTTTAAATTTGTGCCAGACGATACTGACACTTGTAAACAAAGCAATAAGCATCACGGGCGAGTGACCAAGCGACATGGTCAAAGGCAAGCATCACGGCCGAGTGTCAAAGCGTCACAGTACTGTTTTTCTTCAGAGGCCCTGGGAGAACACTAATGTTACTCGCCTCTCCAGTTCTCGTAGGTAAGCCCAGTGCTGCAACAAATTGTACTGTTCGAGGTGAGGTCATCATTCCGATATTCTGCATCAGTTCTCTGAGGGATACAGAGTGAACTTGACTAGGCGTTTGGCTAGGTCGCTTAGTGCTAGGCAACATGCCTATGATGGCTGTACCAACACAATTGTTGTGTTGGCCGAGAATGTGACTTTGCTTGATTTACTAGGAAGTCCGACTGGTGTAGTAAATCCTGTGTTAGCCTTACTATTCAGCTAACAACCCCTTGTTTGGGTTGTGTAGCAACCAGTCGTCTAGATACGGACTGATCTGTACTGATGCCTGGAGCAGCAGTAGCACCACCTGTTTCTATACGCTGGTGAATGTGTATGGAGCCATACAAAACCTGAAAAGGGGCACTCTGAACTCGACTACTTGGCCCAAATGGGCGAATCTAGGGAGTTGCTGACTTGCTGGGAGTATCGGCATTTGCGGGTAAGCATCGCTCAAGTCTAGCGAGGCTAACCAGTAGAAACAGAGCACAGAGAGTAAAACAGTGCTCAGTGTTTCCAGGCAGCACATATTGATTTAGTCTGCTTAGGTCCAGTAGTCTTTGGAACCACCAACACTTGCGAGTAGAAGGCTGGACTTAATGTCGGGTCCTCTATCCTGCGACCTTTGAAAGCAAACTGTCTACCACCTGTCAGATTGCTTCAAATTTGTGGGGATCCCCTGGTAGTGACCCGAATAGGGGGGCTGTTGACAGGGGGGCTGGAGATTGCAGCGAGATCTTGTAATCATGTATCACCACCTGGGGTTGATTATGTGCTGCCTCAGTGCCGGAATACACTGGCGCAGTCTGTGCAACAGAGATATGTGGGTTCAGAGGTTCTACATAGGGGTGATTTTTCCTCCATTGAGGTGAGACCCTGCGAGGCCTGTAGAAGTTAATAGGTTCAGACTGTGCCTCCCGTCGAACATACACCAATCCCCCTCGTCGCAAGAGAAAGCATCAAACTTGCTTCCCATGCAGGCTGGGTGGGTGACCACCTAAGGAAGAGCGTGGCCACCACATGGTCCCTTCTTCCTGGATGGTGTGCCACCACTCTTGCACGTGCCCCCTGGCTACTTCTGTCCAGTGGGTGCCGACTTTGGTAGTTACGTCTTCTCAGCTTGGGGTCTTTTCCGCTTGCCCTTGGCAGAAGCCAAACTGGCTCGCGGTCTCACCTGTACCAACTGGTCGGTGGGATCCCAAAGCACTGAGACTGCTCCTTCCATCCTCAAAAGAAAGAGGGTGGGGGAGGTCCAGCCTGCGTAACTGAAGTGGTGGAGCACCCAGTGAAAACAGCCAAAACCGCATCCTACTGTACAGAGGCAGCCCCTGTCATGAGAGTCTAATGACACTGCAGGATATTCTGCGTAGCCATGTGGTGTCCAATGGCTGTGTCTACTGGTCTAAGAGGCTGGTGTATTCCGCATTGAGACTTCAGAGTACAGGAGGTGCAAAACAATGCAATGATCGGGTAGCACTTGGTCCAGCAGAAAGGGTTAAGCATAAAATTGCCCCATCCTAGGGAAGCGGTATCACTATTGAGAGTGACTGCTTCAGAATCGAGGGTGGGGGTCGAACATCAGGTTACTAGGATCGATGTTTCCCAACATCACCCCACAGTGGCTCACAGAGTCGTTACGAAGAACAGACTCTGAGGGGCCGCATGAGGTTGCACCTGATGAATCAGATATCCCTCTGATGGCCGGGCAAGTCCCCTCTGGGAGCGTCTGCGGGTCCTCAAAGGAGGAGTGATCTATAGTGGAGGCACCTGACTCAAGAAAAATATTCCCTTGTCACTGGGTCCTACAGACGATCCCTGCCTGGCAGAGCGCAGGGAGGGGGGGGGGTACAAACCATATGTTCCTGCCCTGCTTGGTCTCCTCCAAAATCGGAGGCCTGACCACCTAGCCCCCCTTTTGGCTACCTGTGAACTAGGTCTCAGCGAAGACCCGGTACCACCAGCATGTGTCCACCTGCTTCCCAAACGATGGAAAGGCCAGGCTGGGATCGTGGGGATCCCAGGAGGAAGCATCTCTTGCACGTGAATATCGCTTGCTTGTGTGCTTCTTCCGGCTTGCCAAAACAAGGGGCAACTGCGGTGGAGACAACCTGCTCCCCCTGCATTTGGTCTATCCGACCTGCAAGAAACGCAATTTGTCCCAGAAGGTCCTCAACCAAAGCCTGAATCTCGTAGGCAAACACGGCGATGTGCGAGGACGAATCCACAGAGGGACCCATAGCCTCGTTGTTGCCGGTACGATCGGGCAAACTGCTGTAGACTAAAAGGAAGCCCTCCGATCAGCAGGGGGGCCTGAGAAATCTCAATCATCGCCACGGTACTTGAGGCACTGGTAGACAAGTCGGAGGACTGTCGGATTATGCTAGCACTCCACTCACTCACTCATGCTTACATTACTGCACGCCTGACTGCTGCGAACCCGAGCGACACGGTTAGTGTTGAGAATTTGCATGCAGCCTTGCAATGCATCCCAGGCCTGGGTCTCGCACACAAATAGCATTTGCTATGTGGGTTCCAAGCTGATAATTCCTGGTGGCAACTACAGTACAACCGTCCCGATCTTTGGGGCGACAAAAACGAAGGTGAGAAGCCTCTGGTGTGTCACCCTGTCTTCCTATTCATTTCTAAAAACACATTGGTAAAAATGAACAAGACATGCATGAGAGAAACGAATTAGAGTTAAAACCTGACACAAAGAGATCCAACAACGTGGCAAAATTTGTGTCACCCGAGTTGTTCTTTCTTGTAAGGAGTGCACACAAAAAGGCAACACAGGGGTAAAAATTAAAAACAGCGTCGGCTGCCATGCAGGTGACAGCTAATCTGACCAAAAACCCAGACAGGAAAAAATCGAAATGACTGAAACACACCATTTTTATCAAGATGGCCACACAGGGCAGAGAAAAAACAGAAGTGATAGGGAAGGCAATGTGGCGTCGCCTAATTACCTTGGTCACATGGGGCTTCCCCTGACCTAGATTTCCCTATCCGTCATTGGCTGAATCGCAGATAATTGCTTACAGCTCAAAATAGTCATTTTGACTGATGGGAGTCTATGGTGGGTAATTGAATGTAGTTAATTCAGATATGTCATACATACAAACATGATTGCTTAGAGCTTGACTTAAGCAATCAAGATTTGTGTAATCCTCTGACCTGTTATGATGGGGCCCAGATTGTGCATACCTGCACTATGCATGGAGAGGTATACTAGATAGGAAAAAATAAATATGTATTACCAGTAGCTGGGTGGTTCGTAACAATGCCATTGACTATCTCAAACACATAAAAGCATTTTTGCAGGGCCCATCAAGACAGTGTGGTGTATCTGGTTAAAAAAATTGGTTAAACATAAAATTCACACCTGCACTCTACTGCTGCCATTGCATCAAATAACAAAATATTTCAAAATTGAGTTCAGCAATCATTGAAATATACTTTCTTGGAGTTCATTGAATGTGCAAGCACTGAAATGAATTGGGATTATTTTTCATTTTAAAATTTAGTCATTCAGCATTTTTAGATAATCATTGATCTGACCACACAATCTATGCATATGTCCCAGGTACTAGCTATACTAATAAAGTTTGGAGAAAAGCAGTCCAGATAGGTCCAGATGCAAATTGAAAATTATTACATGTATTTGCCGTGATATACTGTATATATACAAAAATTAAAACAAATTTCTCAAAGTATGTACAAGATAAATGTTTCAAGTAGAATCAACTTCACAAATCATTCTCCTAGTTTGAAGTAAATCGGTCAGCACATGCCCTAGATCTGTACATGTCAAAATACCTGATTTTAGTGAATTTTAGTGTATGTTTGTCATCTTTGAACCAATCACAGATTCGTTGCATGTACATATGTATCTGACTAGGTGTTGTTTAAGTGTGTGCAAGTATTGAAGAGAATCGGTCAAAGCATGTCTAAGATACTACTCCAGATGCACACACACACACACACACACACACACACACACACACACACAAACTAACCCGTTAGTCGCTGTTTTCAGACTTCATCCGAACGGGGACTAAAAAGCTGTATAATTCATTCTCTGGTACACTGAGAAAAAAGATTTGATTCATTTTCAAGTAAAACCCTTTAATATGTAAGCACAACAATATATAAAGCATTGAGTCATGTTTATAATAATATGTGTGACCCTATCAGTCGGATCTTTCCTTGCAGACAAATTGTGGCTCGTGAAATATATGTCAGAAAAATCAACTTATGAATATACAATGATCAACCACCTATAATAAATGTCTAACAAAACTTATGAGACAATCACTCGTTATGACTTTAAAATGAAAATGCACATCGATTAATATCTGAAACAACCCAAAATATTTACTGTAACTGCAAACAATACTTGAAGAATTAGGTGTAAAATCACCTAATAAGCAGGTGCTATAGATCATTGTTAGCTGGTGTTTTTAAATGTTTGCGAAGACTAATCAGATCATTAGAATTTGTATTACATAATATGAATATATTGTAATATATTACACAACCTTATCTGACAGAAGTACCATTATATGCAGTATACATCTCTATATAGGTGTATATGAAATAGAACTATATATATATATATACATACAAGATATACATAATTATTGCTAGTTAACATTGTGAAAGCATGCCATTTGCAAAAAATGTTGCAGCTAGTTTAGTAATATTGGTACTTGAATTTAATTAGATTGAGGTTGACCATACATTAGATAACTTTCCCTGTATATGTAAGGGCGGGCAGACGATAACATAAGGGTGGGAATATGATCTATGAAAACATATTTACCGTATACATATGTTTAATAGTAGTCATCTAATTAGAATGTATAAAAAATATGGAAGTTACTCACAAAGACATTTGAAAAAAAAAACAATTTAAAGGAACTCAAAAGCAGATGTCATATATAGTGTGTAATTATGTACAGCAACACAAAAACAGAATTGTTGAAGTTATCCAACTTGTTAATTTGAACGGTCTGACTCTTATATTCACAATGTCAACACTATTGTTAATTATTTATTTATCATGAACTTCAAAAGGTTTTCCCAATAAA